TGCTAAGGAGTAAGGAGCCAGTTTCCAAAAGAGTCAGTACAAACCTTAACAAAACATATTAATAAAAATATATTACATTGTCAACATGCTATGATGAAGGCCTACATTTCATTCATTTATAATCATTCTGACTAAACCAAAAAAGAAACCTTCCTAAATCCATGTTTTTGCCAAAACATGTCAAACTAGATCTAGTTCACAATAATTTCTTTCTCTTAGTTTGAACATTTGCTGATGCATTTGCATAGTTTCATGACATACTGTTTGGCCATCGTATCAGGAAGACCGCAGCTGGTCAGTTGTCATTTTGTGTAAGTCTGATTAAGGCCACTTATATATTGCATGTTGACCATGTGAATTACTGGAATGATTACAACACATTTCGAGTTTGACAAAAAACAAACTTACTATCCAACCAACAAACCACATTAATGTAATAATACAATGCACATAATGCATTGGGTAATGTTTTGTGAGTACTGCTGGATCACTTCAGTTAATAAAAATAAATAGAAAGCAATGTTTCTAAACTGCGGGATAATTATCTCGATGGAATCTGTACATAGTACAAGAACCGCGTCAACACTAAACGCACACAGCAAAATTACAAGATGCATATCCTCCGCACTCTTGAAACTGAAATACATTTTTTTATCCTAAAAGTGAACAAAAAATTATCCTGTAACACCGTACATGGACCAGCACAGAAATGCTGAAACTGAAAGCCATAACAAAAAATATAAACATGTACATGCAAGCAATGCAGTCTGTTCACTGATTCTTTTTTTTTTTGTACGTATGTCTACATGTCCAACCAACATAATCAGTTTGAGAGGGGGGAAAACACCAAGTTTTCAAACTACTAGTGCTTCATGTATGACTGTACACAATCTGTAACTAAAAGTTTAGTACAAGAAAAGATTGAGCATTTCAAAATTTATCTCTCCTCTGTTTGAGATTTTTTTAAAATGACTATACAGTCCAAGCCGGCTTTAAGCACGGTCATCTGGAGAAAGCTTAAGCGTGCTTAAAGCCGAAGCATGCGTAAGTGCGAAGTAGACATAATCCACAGATTTTCATGTAGAAAATTCCACGTGCTATTTCCCTCAGTTTGTAAGTAGGCCTATAGCGGTCCCGCAAAAGTGTGCACTGTTATGATACACAATCAGGATTAATGGGTAGCGAGGGTCAAAGGTGAAATCGCAGCCAGCCTCCCTTTCTCATCTCCCCGACTCTCTTTTTTTGGGGGGGATCGTGTGTAGCTTTGCCCTAGGCCTAGGCTAGATCCTATGTCAGCGCGAACGGCTGTGTGCATCTCTCTGCCTTCCTCTCCGCCCGTGCGAGTGTGTGTGTCCATCACTTGTGTTCTTTGTGTTTCTCTTGACACACTCCACTGTTGCGGTGTAGACTGTGTTCGAACTTCGATGGGTCATCATGAAAATATTGACTGCCTTGTAAATGAAGCGTGCTTGAAGCCGAAGTTACCGTGCTTATAGGCGTGTAATTTATATAGCAAAAATTCGGTAAGAGCCGTTTAGCGTGATTGAGTCCGAAACGTGCTTAAGGCCGGCGTGCTTATAGCCGGCACGGACTGTACAACCTCAATAACACTAGTGGTGACATCTACAGTGTCCCACATTGAGATCTAATCATCTTAGTTCAAGAGTAAATTACTCAGTATACAAAGGGTACAGGCAAAGATTGAGCTAAAAGAATCTTAATCTACGATTATTTCAGAAATGGAACAGAAACAATTTCATCAGCACCGAGGTGATATTACTGTGCGTAGACTGCTAATTATACTTTGTTTTAAGCTTAAACCCATGTCATAAAGCAACAACGTTTTCTGAAAGGAGTGAACTTTCTTGATGTATACAATCTTAGGAACACAAACAACACTCGGGGAAAAGAAAATATGTCTCTCAAAGTAAACAAGGTGTAACTCATGAATCTATCTTGCTACTGTGTAGGCCTCCCAAGATATTACCGAAAGGTGCACTCTTAATAAGGAATACAACAAGTACCAACACACAAGTCACAGACTCCCACTTCTTACATTCATGGGTGTGAGACAACTTTTAAGAAAAACAGTTGATGAAAAATATTTCCAAACGAAATTCACAGAAATCTGTCACAGCCCTTTGAGATAAGCATCTAAAAACTAAAACCAGTAAAAAGATAGAAGAGAAAGTGAAGGATCACAGCAACAAGCACCAAATAAGAAACATAAGATGTTATGGTGCAGAACAATATACAAATACGGGAAAGGCTTATACTAAGAGTTTTAGTTTTAGTAAGAGTTTTTACGGCACTTGCAACACAATAACATCATATAGGTGTCGAAGATTAGAGGTGTTACAAGAGAGTAACAAACAACAAAAAGGAGGAGAGATCATGACGATAGATGTTTGATAGGCTAGGAAAGAAGGAGCAAACCACACCAGAGCACCCACCAACCACCCACTTATATTAATAAGAGATACAATGTAACTATCTTTGCAATAATTTTAACAAAAATATCTAACTTTTCACAATAAGCTTAATGGTCCTTTCAGCAAACATGTGAAGTTATAGATATGGCAAGACTCATTTATCATTTCTTCTGAGAGTTTACACAAAGCTACAAAATATAAATCAGAACCCACTCATATATATATATATATATATATATATATTATATATATATAGATATATATATATATATATATTATTGTACGACTGTATAAAACAATTCATCATTGCTATCCCAAGAAAAATGAGCAACTCCAAAGTCGTTGTCTCAGCTTGTAAAACAAGGTCTGGAGGGATTGCTTATTTCCCTAGCAACAGCGATACAATATCAAAGAGACATGGGATGATGGGTACAGGTCTACTTCCACCCTCCATTAACTCTATCCGTAAGCCCTTGGGTAATTTTGTACCCCCAAGGTTGTATTCTTCACATTTTAGAATACTTTTAGTATGAAGATCTCTTTGAAACTTTCAGTATTTCTCAAAAAATCATTTTGACAGACGGCTATGCAAAGCGTACGGATCAGATTAACGAGTAAATTTCGTCTTTGGAACGTAGTGGCACAGAGTTCCCCAGTCTTATGGATACGATAGTAAAACACAACATACGGATAGGGTTAAGAACTTACTAGACCTACTACACACACCCAGGGTATCTACTCTTTACGATTAGCCTTGATGTCATGTGTGAAAGACAATTGTACCTTTTATTAAAGTGGGGGGCTGAAGTAGACCTTTACCGGATAAAGCAACAGCATGATATTTCTCAATATATGTGTAACGACGTGGTGAAATCAGGCGCTCGTCAATTTTAGGGCTTGTGGTATAATCTTAAAGTTTAAAGCTTGTTCAGTTGTCTTGTTATCACTGACAAAAAATGCCCATCTGTCTCGAAATATTTGAAATAGAAGAAAGATGGGGGGTCGCTTGGTTTCAAAGGAAATATTATAGAGAAAATGGCAGACAAAGTCTGATTATTTTCATAGCTTTGTAGCACATGAAAACTAAAATTTACATTTTTTGTGACTTTAATAGACGTTTTTCAGTAAAATCCACATAGAAATGTGTTCATAATTGGACAACAGTGGTGTTAAGCCAAAAAACAAAAATTGCCAAACTGACAGAAAAATGCTTGATTCTTCGATTTCATTATTTTGACAAGCGCCTGATTTCACCACGCTGCCTCACATATTATCATATGACCTCAAGAAAGTGTATTGAGAGCATGTACAGTACAGCATAATCACAACTCTGCCCCAAAAGCAATTTAAAGGTACAAAATAAGGGAAGGTCATAAGGAAAACTGCTTTATAAAAATAAACATTTAAGTAAGACTTAAATACCCACTGCCTCCAAACAGAGAGAGAGAAGGGGAGTGGGAGGCAGAGAGAAAATTTCGAAGAGGATATTGAATAGGGAGCAAAGAGTATTTCAAGTCTTGTAAATATCAATATGTTGCATTCTTGACAGAAAGCATATAATAATATAAAGCAATAATTATCTTCATTGTGGTTTAAATATAACAGAGCATATTATCAAATGTATTTCATGCAAGGCAAATATTTTCCAATATATTTTAATACCGATACCAAGAGGTTCACTTAAAATTGCCCTTTGAGATATGTTCCAAATTGTACAATGGTTTCTCACCAAAATTATGCATAACCCAGCAATCCCACGCTTAGTGGGAAACACCCCAGAGGAAAGACGGAGATACTCAAAGATATCCCCTGCAAGAGAATTAAACTTGTATGATCTTTAGCATACAAAGCAAAGTGCCATAAAGTCACAGACATTGCTTGATATTTTTTCAAAAGCCTTCACATCATCACAGACAAACCCTTTTTATAAGACCATTTATTTCAACTTTTTCTTTGTGACGTTCAAACAGAAACTGACTTTAAACAAGGTGTTTCCTTCTAAAGCTGCTGCATATCATCTTCAATGCGACCACTTTGATGTAAAGGTCTAGATCGTCTAACAAAAGCTCTACACAAGGAGCATGAGGTAAATATCCTGCTAAAATTCCTAAAGTAAACAGAAAATAGGCATTTCATGTAAAATCTGGGAAGTGAAGTCTGGAAAAGAAATGGTAATAATACAATCTGGAACTGTACATCCTAGAAAAACCTGGTTGCAAAATTACATGGACAAGGGTAGCCAATTTGGCTGGAGTACTGAGAAAGTGGCTTTTCATTATATGTAAAATTAACAGGAAATTGTCTTGTATAAGTATAATGACAGGTTAAACAAGAGGAAGGAAATTTCAGCAAAATAGCCTACTATAGAAGAAAAGTCCGTAAACTTGGACAATTTTAAGTAACAGGACACAATTTCTAAAGGCCAAAAGAGTAAAAGAGCTATACAATCACATGGATATATAAAAGGGGACTCCTGCAGAGAAAAAAGTGTTTCAAGATAGAAAAACAAAAAAACTCAGAACTTCTTTCCTAACTATATCCGAAACCATAAAAAAAAAAATGTTTCTAATTTATAGTGACAATAATGTCTACAGATTTTATTATTCAGAATAAACAAAACATACATATATTTTTGTTTCTTATTATTGCAACATGCCCAAGACAATCAATATCTTTAAGATAACACAAATACATAATCTCAAACCAAATTTTTTAAGACAATCACATGAAAAACTCTATAACAAAAGGCATAACAGTACATGTACTGAAGAATGCTCAAACACAAAACCTACTGGCACCCTGTTCATCCAACTACAAAATTTCTATGCCTTTTCTACCTGGCTTGTTACATGGGTGCTCTGCAGTTTTTATCATTTCACTTATTTAGCTTCAGAGAATCTTGACAGACAAAGTATGTTTTAAAAATCTATATGGGGTCTTTTTTCAAGTTAAGAAGAGCACATCAACACTGTAACAGTAATTTATAGATAGGAATAAAAGACAGATACACTAGAGGAAATAAACGGAAGTTGTACATATCCTCCCCAACACAATATGGGGATCTTAAACTAGACAGACCCAAGAACACCAAGCATCCATAAGAAGGGAAAAACCTTAGGCAAGGCAAATATGGACGAGGAGAAAAAAGCCAACTCTGCATCCTTGAAAAAGTCATCAATCGTAAATATTTCACATGGTAATCCATACAATTTAGATCATTTAAGACGAGGGCTTTTTTCGATCCTACGTGTAGGGGTTAATCTGGGCTGACAGAGATGCAGCATCCCAGCAGAGATAATAAAATTAGCTTCCTAAACTAAAATCTTCTGTACGAAACAGTAAGAGTCCTCTAATTATTACATCACAAACTCTTGTAGGGGCCTATAAGTAATCAGTGCGACACTGAAAGGCTTATAGGGAAGAGACAATAATATGTTTATGACAAAAATAGCACAGAGCTCTGACTCGAGAGCACGTTTAAGCTAAAGTAGAAGCTAAAACCCGTCGTGGCCTAAGCATACACGAATTAAGTTATTGCCCAAAGCTTCCCCCCAAAAATGTAGAAAGTAAGTACAAAGGAATAACAAAGTGTATGACAAAATAAACCCTGGACACAACAACAGTTTCTTTCCCAATCAGAAATCCGAAAATTTCAAGAACTGACTACCAAGATATGGGTTCGAAACAATTTAGCACTGCAACACAATAATGGCCGTCTAGTGCAACAACAACAAAAATACACAGACACACACACACAGAAGCAAGAGACAAAAAGAAAGTATGTATGAACAACCAAAGTATATCCTCTAACAACCTGCATGAGCAGTCAAAAGGGCAGAAGTGTTGTCAGAATCGAAAAAAATCATGTGCATCAAGAACGGGAAAAAATTCTTAATAACAATAAACAGTGACAGCAATGAACCAATGGACACCTTGGTCCACCTTCAACAACATGGCATCGGAGAATAAAGGGCATGAACCCAAAAGACTGCTGGGCTTACAGCAACAACAAACAACAACAACAACACAGGGCAAAGCAATAAAAAAGCACCATATATATTTAAAATCACTTTTGATTTTGATCACTCAACACAAAAAAACAAATACAACAATTCACAACAAAACGGCTTGCAATTCCGCAGTCTTTTTCAAAGTTTTGAATCTGTTACATACACTTACTTATTGCATCTCAAACATTAGCACAACCCACAGCTCTTTTAGAAAAAAATCGCTTTTTAGGCGTGTGTTAAGTCTGTGTCAGCGATCCTGGCTCTGCGTAATCCTACCACAAGTCAATATTCATCCACCTTGTAACAGGTGAAGTCATAAGCCTTGGCTTTGAATCACCAGATGCTCACACATGTGCAAACAGAAAAAACATTCAATCTGATAAATGTATACAAAAAAGACAATTCATTTACACTTCAAGCAAAACACATAAATGTCATAAAACAAAATATAACTTTTGCTTAGTCGATTTGATGCTGTTGACATTTGTTGTCCTATGTTGTTAATGCTTTACTCCACACAAGAGAAAACATGTCAAAAGAGGAACATACTGTTTTCTGTCTAGTAGCTAATCTGAAGGAAATTTTCTTAATTCTCTAAAAACTGAATCCAATAAACAGGAGCAGCGAAGCCCCTTATCTGAGAACCAAATCACATAGTCTGAGCATAACGGATGCCATGGAGTATTATTTTCTGAATGTCTCCCGTACGTAAAGGATAAGGGTACAGCACTTATGTCCATTTTACTGTGTTGCCATTCTTCATTATAGTCAAACCAACAGCAGTCAGGTCTCCCACAAAAGTCAAAATAAGGCAATGTTAGTTAACAAGGAAGAACAGAGCCCTGTGCCACTGATCACAAAGGTACAAACCTGTATGTATCTAATTTATTCTTGCAGAAGCTACTAGCCATTTACTTCTGGAGCAAGTTACAATCACAAAGCAGATAGAAAGACAAGAACAAACACGTTTTGAGCATGTCAGCATTCTCTTATGCCAGCACTCAAACCCATGACACTCAAATGCAAAAGGATAAGGATAAAGGTTTTTGCCACAACAATTTTTTAAAAGTTTGAAAAGGACAATAATTATTGACATTTAATCATTTAAGTATCTTAACTCATCAAGAGCAAAAATTTCTCTACTTTTCACACTAAAGCCAAATTATCATAATAAACATCCTTAAGGACCTTATAAATCCATTTTTATTAAGATAATACATTTATATGAGAAATGCGTAGCTAAACAGAACTGATTAGGACATAAACACTGATAATTTATACTGGAGGGACGTAACAGTACCGTTACTCAGTCATTTCCACCATTTGCATCATGCCCACACAAAAAAATAATGCTAGTTACACAACATTTCATTTGACTATGGCCCAACAGTAATCGGGCTCTTCATAGTAGCCCATGAGAAGACAGTCGTGTTGCGAGTATGCGGGGTGGGAGTGGTCGTAATGGTTGGTGCTGGCAACTCCGTTTTGAAGATGAAGATGTCGGAGCTGATGCATTGCCACAGAATCACACCACAGATGAGCAGGATAAACCAGAACTTTTCGCTGCCCTGTGAATCACAATATTGAACACTTTATTAATTCAAGAGACAGCCAGATACTCTATTAGTTTTTCAGAGAAGAAAAGAGTGTTTTGAAGTGTTATACTGTGGGGGAGAAAGATGATTTTAAAAAAGATTATAGAACCCACTTTCAAAACTGGATATGCACTATTAAAAAGCAGTCTGTTATTAGTATTAATACTCCGGTATCCTTTCTGTACAAAGACCCACAAAAGACTCAGGACTTAATAGCATCTCTCTCTCTCTCTCTCTTTCTCAAATCACGAGTTCATACCCATTTTACTAACTCAGGATAAAGTAAATAAAACTTTTCACATTTTTGTTTTTTTCCTTCTAGCCAATCTTTACATATAGTGGGGCGGTTTAGCACAAAAATTTTAAAGGATTGTGCATTTTGTGATACAAGCACCAAATTTGGCACAGATGTACATTAATATATTGCAAACATTTTTAGATATTGGGCCACTCGGATTTCTCTCTTTATGGCCGCCATATTGGATTTCAAAATGGCCGCCATTTGAAATCTACATTTGCGATTATCTCTGAGTCAAATGCTATTGACTTCATTTTGGAGTCTAAATGTATGTTTTTGGGGGCAAGGAATCCAATGGTTACAATCTACATAGCGTATTTGTACTAATGGGCCGCCATATTGGATTTCAAAATGGCCGCCATTTGAAATCTACTTTTGCGAGTATCTCTGGGTCAAATGCTGCTACTGACTTCATTTTGGTGTCTAAACGCATGTTTTGGGGGGCAAGGAATCCTATGATACCAATTTCATAATCCAATGCACAATCTAATGCACAATTCTAATGCACAAACCTAAATCAAAGACACAAATCTAAAATTCTAATGCACAAATCTATTCCAGTGCACAATTCAATGCACAATCCAACGGTACCAATTTCAACGTAATGTTATCTTTCACACTCTGTTTTATAAAATGATCTAGGAAAATAATAGATTGAACACGATACTTTGAAAAGAATGATTATATGAAAGCATGTTGATTGATAGATTGAGTGTGTGTTTTACGGCACTATCGACACAATTTTGAAAGCATGTTAAATGGGCGAAAAAGTCTTAAGTCTGTAAATGTCGTAGGTACAATTCTAGCATGCTACATGGTCTAATTTCTGAGGCTAGTTGTATATTGACATTCTTCAATGGTCTGGTATTTGAGGCTAGGTAGATATCGGTACTGAAGATGCATGTACATAAACAGTGTCATGTTAACAAGTTCACACTGCCACAAGTACATGTATGTTGTGGACTCATCGTCCTGTGCAGTCCCCTTCACACACACAGAGGGCAGTCTTCTTACTTTTGCAGAGCCTCACACACCATAAATGGCACTTGCAAGAAACCAGCTCATTGCAGCTGTGAGCTGCTTTGGGTAGCCTGGTCCAGTACGGTGTGTATTGTCCTCCAGTCATTGACCAGCCCAAGTTGTTTTGTGGAGGGAGCTCTGGTGCTGGCAAAAGTATCTGACCCCACACATTTCCACCTCAATACACTCCCCTCTTGACATGTTCCTCTAAAGCTGCCTACGTTGGAAGGATCAGCTGCACATCGTTCTTCCTTGCGAAGAGTTTCCTCCTGCCCGTGTCATTGTCCGTGCATTTGCTGGTTCGATCATACAACAGGATCACGAACCTCTTGATGATTGACATTGCATCGCTTGGTATGTCACGTAGTGCAAAGGACTCCAGCAGCAGCGCTTCAGTGAGTTCTGGCAGTACCATCCAGACTGCCCACGCAGTCTTCTTGCTATATGGGATGAAGATCTTAGGAGCATACTCTTCAAATGTCTTTAATATAATGCTGCCAATCTGGGCGATAGCTGCTCCATCAAGAACTATACAGCTAGTGACAGGAGTCTCTGTCTTGGCGTCGAAGATTTCTTCAAAGCCTGTGATGAAATCATTCTTAGTACAAGTGAAGAGGTTTCCACCAGCAGACAGTGCAGGAGGACATGCCTGGTTCTTGTGACGAAAGAACTCCTCAAGGTTTCCACCCCTCGTCTGCCAGCCAATGTACAGGCGTGCGACGAGTTCATGGTCATTTTTGACAGAGGCAAACTGTTCCTAACATTCATTCTTGTTTCTTGGAGTGGAAGTGCTGAATACCTTCAGCTTTGTCACGAGGAATTGGGTCGTCCACTGCCTTTGTTCTGTCCAACAGACACTCTCTGGTGACAACCTCGGGCTGCTCTTGCCCAATCCTCTTTGCTTTCATCACGGTCTCCACGGCAGAAGGATCTGCGATATCGTATGTGTCCAGTATGACTAGATCCTGACTCTCCTCCTCGAATGGGTTGCCCATCTCCTTTATGATACCGACGAGACAGCGAATCTCTTTCACAAATGAGGCATGTACACTTAGCGTCTGATCATGATGACGTGTGTCTGCTGTTTTCTTGTTGTCTCCAGTATTGGTTCCTGTCCTGGAATTCTTCGATCACCCTAACAATTTCTGGTCTTGAAACCATCCAGCGACGAAGGGCACTAGGATTGTCAGTTAGCCCAACTGCGCCATCGTTTCCGTTGATGCA